GTTGTCAAAATCGCTGTTGAGCGCACCATAACCATTCCGGGGCTTCAGGTGACGGTAGTTCTCTTCGCGGAACCGCTTTCCAAAGAAATCGCGCACATGTCCGAAAGCAATGAGGATAAGGTAACTGATATAAGTCGTGAGGAGATAATAATAGGGCGGCTCGTCCATTATAGGCTCCGGGAAAGGCCCGCCAGGATGTCGGCTGGAATAGCGGTGACTGTGGTGACCGATTGGGCCGAATTGAGCATGTTGCTTGGCCAGCCGACGAGCCTCTTCAGGCGAAGGGGGCTGGAATAACGTGGTCGGGGGCTCATCCATATTGGGGTTACCCGCGGTTGCCGTTGAAAGAGAGATTGTAGGAAGCGACAGAGAAGCAGAGCTGATCGGCGGTGCGACCGTACTAGAATGGGAGCTTCCACTAAGCGACTGAACAGTACCCTGCACAGTCTGAGGCTCAGCCCTTGACTTCGGAGAGGTAGAGAATAGTTGGCTTAGGCGACTAGGTTTCACGGAGGGCGCCTTGATGGCAATGCCGCCCTTGACAGAAACGGAGGAAGAGAAGGGAGCGTTAGAAGGATCGTTGGTGAGAGAAGGGCCGGCAGCTCGACGAGGCATCGCAAGGAAGCAGCCGGACAGAGACACGGAGAATCGTGCGGGTTCGATAGGAGGAAGAGCGCAGTCGGGCTGGAGACGGCAAGAACCACCTGGTCGGCAGCACTCACGATTTTTCGAGTAAAGGAAAGATCCGCTCGCTGGCTGATGTTACCTAGCCGCTTGTTGTCTCCAATCGGTATGAACAGCAAACGGCGTTCGTAGATTGTCCACCTAAATGGCCGTTGAGAACATGGTCAGCTGACTTGGACAATTGAGTGTCGCAAAATGGCAAGACATTCGGGGAGCGCACAGCGCAAGAAATTACAAGGGGAACAAAAGGGCTTTTGTAAAAGGAGAACAAAGTGTAAAGAAAGGAGAAATAATTGCGAAAGGTCAAAAAGATGACCATTGAGGAGAGGGGGGGAACGGCGGAGAATCAGAGATGATCGGTCAGGTACTGTACCTTTTGCACGTGGAGCAACAGTAGCAGGAGGCACGGAGCCCTGCAACGAACAAGGTGAATTTAAAATCCTTGAGGCCAGGACAGGAGAATCCGCACGAACACTAAGCCACCGGAAAAGAAAGCGAAGTGCGGATGATAGTGAGGAGAAGAGAAGAGAAGACGGATGTTGTAGTAGTGGTGGTGGTGGGTGGAGGTGGAGGAGGAGATGAGGAGAGGAGGAGAGGAGAAGGTGGTGGTGGTGGGAACGAACGGGTAGTGAGCGAGTGAGTGAGAGTCGAGTCGAACAATTCGGGAGGGACTCGTTCCTGAAAAGGTCGAGAACTGATTGATCATGGATTGAATGACTGATTTGTGCAGAGTGCAGAACCAACCCATGGTCATATCAGCCCATTGGGTATTATTAATGAAGAACTAATGAGGATAAACAAATTAAGCGTTCCCATCCTCAGCACGCCCCGATGGGTCCTTTTCCACTTTACTCTTGTTTTTTACGGCTTCTTTTTTATTTCTATCGCTTTTTTTCTTTTTTCTTTTTTCTTTTTTTTTTGCTTTTCCCTGAAATTAGTAAGTAGTAAGCGGATGTCACGGAGCGGTAATGGAGCGGTAAGTTGGACCCTCGTTCCGGCCGTTTCGGTGGATGAGCGATTGGTCAATTGGTTCTGCCCTGGTATTCAATCTTTCCCGCTCAGGTGGACAGAGTCAGAACAACGTTTAGTTAGTTACAGTACGGAGCTCAGTAAGAAAATAAGAAAGGGGCAACGCAAGGTGCATGAACTGCCACACTGCACTTCTGTTGTACATCGACTTGTGAACTGGTAGCCTACTCATATGTACAGTGTACATCCTTCGATGCACGGAGGAAATTCACCGCCGCCTATTTCCAGCTTCTGCTGTACTGTACATGGGTGGTTGGATACAACTGTACGAGTACTCGAGGCTCAACTGGTCAACAGACAACAGACTTATGCAGAGCTGTTGCTGCCTCAGGCCAACATACATGACTCTACACTACCGTATGCTCTGACTACCTGCGCATCTCCCTCTCCCTAGATTCAGCTTGCATTCGCACCTTCGCCCACACAGAGTCATTCCACTATCTACTCGCATGGTGATTGTTCAGTAGTCCCCGTACTTATTGTCCTTGTTGGCTTTGTTCTTGACTCTGTTCCCCGCTGTTATCCGCTCTGTTCCGCCCCCGTTCCGCCCCGGAATGCCCCATAAAATGCTCCAGTCGATCTATAAGTATAGTAGCCAGACCTAGAAATTGAGATACTGGGAAATCACCTTAAGAAATCCGACTCGTCTGCCCTCACTTGTGCCAATACCTACTGATTAGGGAGTAATTGAGTTTGGGTGACAGGCAGCAACCACGTATTCACTGGAACGGCAACCGCTTCGGACCCTCGGTTCCTTGACAGCCAGATTTCCCTAGATTTGGACCTTCTTCCTAGACACAAACTGTCACCTTTTATCTGTCGGAAGCAGAACACACGACTGGTAGTGCCCATGGCTACCAACGGAGAAGAATCGAAGGAGCTATGGCGACACTCCTCTCCACATACCACTCAGATCCATGACTTCATCAAGACTGTCAACAAGGAGCATCTCCTGTCGCTGGATTCATACAACGATCTCTGGGAGTGGAGCATAGCAGAGCCAGCAAAGTTCCGGGAGCAGGTCTGGAAATACACTGCCATTGTGGCTCACCAGCCCTACAGCCGCGTGAGTATATCACTGATAGTGATGATGACGCTTGTGTCACTTCACGAAGCAGGGTTTGGAGGCGGTGCTAACCAGACCCCAGGCCTTGAGTTCAGAGCAGCTTCTCTTTCCACGACCTAAATTCTTCGACGGAAGCAAGTTGAACTTTGCTGAAAATCTTCTTTACCCAGCCTCGTCTCCTGACGAGGATGCGGTGGCTGTCATTGCTGCCACGGAATCGGATCGTGAATACGTGTCCTGGAAGGAGCTGCGAGATCGGGTCAGAAAATGTGCCAACGCGTTGAAAGAGGCAGGCTTGCAGGTCGGGGACCGCGTCGCTGGGTTTCTGGGAAACCATACAAACACTGTCGTTGCGATGCTCGCAACAACGTCAATTGGTGCCTTCTGGACAGGTGTCTCTCCAGATACCGGAGTACACGCCGTGTTGGAGCGCCTGAAGCAGATTGAACCGAAGTTCTTGTTTGCCGACAATGCGTCGCTGTATAATGGGAAAGTTCATGGCGCAGATGCGAAGCTGCGGGAGATTGTGCCTGGTTTGCCCAAGCTCGAACTCCTGGTCGTGTTCCGCACCGTCGACTCTTATGAATTCCAGCTGGAAGAAGTAAAGCCGCTGCAAGGCAAGGCTGTTCCTTACGATTCTTTTCTTGCGCAGGTTAAAGATGCTGCAGCCCCTCTGGACTTCGCGAGTCTGGAGCCGGATCATCCAGTCTACATACTATATTCCTCCGGCACAACGGGAGCACCGAAGCCAATTGTACACGGTGCTCTGGGAACGCTTCTCCAACATAAGAAAGAGCATGTTCTTCACTGCGATATACGCCCCGGAGACCGAGTGTTCTACTTCACAACCACGACCTGGATGATGTGGCACTGGCTTGTTTCTGGCTTGGCCAGCGGCGCCACCATTGTCCTCTACGATGGCTCGCCATTCCGACCGTTCGATTCTGAAGGTGGCAATGGGGAGATGGCCATGCCGCGTCTGATAGATGAACTACAGATTAGTCACTTTGGTACATCGGCCAAGTATCTGTCCATTTTGGAGCAGGCATCTCTAAATCCAACACAGCACCCTCATCAGCCGGTGAGCCTGCAGACATTGAAAGCCATCTACAGCACGGGTTCACCTCTAGCTCCGTCTACGTTTGAGTATGTCTATACATCTATCAAGGCAGACATTATGCTGGGCTCAATTACCGGAGGAACCGATATCTTGTCGCTCTTCTGTGGCAGCTGCCCCATTCTTCCCGTTTACAAGGGTGAAATTCAGTGCCGCTGCTTGGGCATGGCCGTTTCAGTCTACGATTATGCCGGCAACGACATCAGCACCTCTGGCGAACCTGGCGACCTCGTCTGCACCAGACCTTTCCCCGCACAACCGGTGATGTTCTGGCCTCCAGGTCCCATAGGGGCGGAGAAATATCGCAAGAGTTACTTCGACGTGTTTGGTCCATCAATTTGGCACCACGGCGATTTCGTGCGTGTGAATCCCCAGACTGGAGGAGTAGCCATGCTGGGTCGCAGTGACGGCGTCCTGAAACCGGCTGGAGTCCGTTTCGGAAGTGCAGAGATTTACAACATTCTGCTCAAACACTTCGCAGAAGAGGTGGAGGACTCTCTCTGCATCGGACGAAGACGTGATGGGGTTGACACAGACGAGACAGTCGTTCTTTTTGTCAAATTGCTGCCGCCTGGGGCGGCTTACGAGGTCATATCGGCGGATCTTGCGGCTCGCATTCAGGCGACAATCCGTAAAGAGCTCAGTCCTCGCCACGTACCGGGAATCGTGGCTGTATGCCCTGAGATTCCCGTGACGTCCAACGGTAAGAAGGTCGAGAATGCGGTTAAACAGATCCTATGCGGGTTGAACATCAAGATCGGTGCGAGTGTTGCCAATGCCTCTTGCCTGGACTGGTACCGCACCTGGGCGACAGCGAACTAAGTTGCCGTGTTGAGAATTGCTAATGGGTGGTATGAGTTATGTTTCGGTAAAATATACTGTAGGAGAACCTTTAATAATTAGATTTCCTTGTCAAGCTGAAGCATTCTCTCGTGCGTCTTTAGAAATCATGAGCAATCACTACCGAGAACATATACTCGGCTCGATCTAGATCCTGAAACATTATTAAACACATGACTGACCACCTACGGTCCTTTTTTTGCCACACAAAGGGCACTACTTCGATGCTGAGGACGCAAAACTCTTCTCATAATTGCATACCTCTGAAAAGGAGATACTAGCGTCAGCAACCTTGCTATCCCCTAAGATATTGATGCTGCATTGCTCAATCTTGCCCAAGAAATCCTACGAGTGCTTCCCCGCTTAGATAAGCAACCCCGGCTCGGAGCCCAAATCCTTGCGACGCCTGGCCGTGACGAAACCATTTTCCGGAACAGCAGGCTTTACAAAACTCAGGCAAACACGCAAAATTAATCTAGACATACTCATTGGGACTTTGCAACACACATACTCGAAGATGCGTCGCTCTGTATTGCGGGCTGTCGAGTCCGCGAAGCCGATTACTCGCGTGCCTCGCTCAGCTGCGTCGAGAAGCTTTTCCACCGCTACAGACGGGTCTAAGGTACGTTGAGCGCGCAGGTTGGTTGGATTTGCCGCAAATGCGCCATTAGCAGGCTGACTCGGAATCTCACACTCTCTACAGGACCCCGCAGAATTAGATCAGATCACTACCCTGCCGAACGGAATCCGCGTCGCTACCGAATCCCTGCCAGGCCCTTTCGCTGGAGTTGGTGTCTATGTTGACGCTGGATCCCGCTATGAAGATGAGAGCCTGCGCGGTGTGAGCCACATCATGGACAGACTGGCCTTCAAGTCCACCAAGGCACACTCCGCCGATGAGATGCTAGAAACTCTGGAGAATCTCGGCGGCAACATTCAATGCGCGTCTTCCCGTGAGTCGCTGATGTACCAGTCGGCTAGCTTCAACTCTGCAGTTCCCTCGACGCTCGGATTACTGGCGGAGACCATCCGTGATCCTCTCATCACCGAGGAAGAGGTGATTCAGCAGCTGGCCACCGCGGAATATGAGATCGGCGAGATTTGGTCCAAGCCCGACCTCATCCTGCCGGAGCTGGTGCACACGGCGGCCTACTCGAACAACACTCTGGGAAACCCACTGCTCTGCCCGGCGGAGAGACTGGGAGAGATCAACAAATCGGTCGTGGACAAGTACCGGCAGACTTTCTTCAACCCTGAGCGCATGGTGGTTGCCTTTGCCGGCGTGGAGCATGACAAGGCGGTTAAGCTCACGGAGCAGTACTTTGGTGACATGAAGTCGAACAAGCCGGTTCTTTCGGGAACCGGTGTCGAGACTACTTTGTCTCATTCCGAATCGACTCTGGGGGAGGGACAGGTGCCCACAGTCCCTCAATTCACGCCATCTTCGACTGTTTCTACCACACCCCCGACCTCCAAGTCGGGAATTCTCTCGAAACTCCCCTTCTTGAAAAACCTCAGCCTGTCCGGCTCGCAGAACGATGCCGCCTCGCCGCTTGATCCGTCGCTAGTGCAGTCAACGACTCTAGACTTGACTCGGCCTTCTCACTACACCGGCGGCTTCCTCTCTCTACCCCCCATCCCTCCGCCAGCCAACCCGATGTTGCCTCGTCTGAGCTACATCCACCTTGCCTTCGAGGCCCTTCCAATCTCAAACCCTGACATCTACGCCCTCGCTACTCTCCAGACCCTCCTCGGAGGCGGCGGCTCCTTCTCGGCCGGTGGTCCCGGCAAGGGCATGTACTCCCGTCTCTACACCAACGTGTTGAACCAGCACGGGTGGGTGGAGAGCTGCGTGGCGTTCAACCACAGCTACACGGACAGCGGTATTTTCGGAATCTCCGCGTCCTGCAGCCCCACGCGCACGACCGAGATGTTGGAGGTCATGTGCCGTGAGTTGCAGGCCCTGACCCTTGACAACGGCTATTCCGCGCTTCAGCCCCAGGAGGTTGAGCGTGCAAAGAACCAGCTCCGCTCCTCGCTTCTCATGAACCTGGAGTCGCGTATGGTAGAGTTGGAGGATCTCGGACGCCAGGTCCAGGTCCACGGCCGGAAGGTGAGCGTCAAGGAGATGTGCCGGCACATTGAGGGCTTGACGGTGCAGGACCTGCGTCGGGTGGCTAGAAAGGTCTTCGGTGGTCAGGTCCAGAACCCTGGCAAGGGCAGCGGAAAGCCCACCGTCGTCCTGCAGGAAGGCGAGCTTGAAGGGTACAAGCTGCGCCCGTTCCCTTGGGGAGAGATCCAGGAGCGGATAGCCAGATGGCAGTTGGGAAGACGGTAGCTTGGAGAACGAATGATCATTGAGGTTCCTAGTTCAGCGAACCTCAAGCAAAGTATAGCGTCCAGGAAAGGATTATTTCCTGGAAGCAGGTTGGGATAGAGCAGGCTTTCCACAAATTCTTCACTCTATGTAATTAGATATAGCCATGAACCTCAATCAAAGTGTACCATAGACGCATCACTGCCTGTATTCTTCTTATAGTTGTACTGGCCATTGAAGGCTCACAGAATAAATGATCGAATGAAATATTGACGTGGAATTGCAGCGCATTGATGAATAATAAGAATGGATGGGCGGCGGCCAGCTCCTTACCGCTTTGAGTTTGTTTCCGCCCGGGAAAAAAGTTGGAACGGAAGTTCGAAGCCGGCGGCCGCCTTCAATCTCCGTTCTGCTCCTCCATCCAACTTCCTTCTCAACTCACCACCGTCTTCATCTTCACGACCCTCGCGCCCCACCTTCTATCGCAATCAAACTCACACCATCCATACTCCCCAAACGTCACAATGGTCAAGCTCACCGAAGTCGAGGACGAGCACTTCGCCCAGGAGAAGCCCCAGCCCAGCAAGCACAACGTCCTTCTTGCCTCGGATGACGAAGAGGAGGACGATGACTACACTGACACCGGTACGTCCACTTTTTATAAGTCCATCGAGTCTTATCCCAAGTGGCGACTATCGCAATCGAAAAACCACTCCTGCGATCATTCCCAATCAATCACCATCCGCCTATAACCCATCCATACATCCATCCTTGCGCGACCATCCAATTTCGCAGCCATGCACCCTACCCCCAGCTCTACATCCTCCATCCATCTCCAACCTCAAAAACAATCCCATAAAAGAAGCACATAACAAGCCAGCCAGCATCGCAAATGCTGTCTGCACCAATATAGAACCACGAACTGACATCCTCTTTCCGCTGCACCATAGAATCCGAGATCTCCACCGAGTCCTACGAAGAGCTCGAGAGCGAGACCCTGTACGACCGCATCTATGCCCTGAAGGACATGCTCCCCCCCTCCGCTCGCCGCTCTCTCACCTCCACCGTCAACACGGTCACCTCCTTCACAAAGTCCAGCGTGACGTTCAGCGGTAAGGCGCTGTGGATCATCAGCACCAGCGCGTTCCTGCTGGGTGTGCCGTGGGCTCTGGCCTACGCCGAGGAGGAGCAGTACATCCAGATGGAGCGCGAGCAGGGCATGATCAAGGGTGCTAATGAGGTATGGTTATATTGTTTTTATTTTCTCTGGCCAGTTGTTCTGTTACTGCTTTTTTTCGACTCGTGGGGAATTCGGGTCAGGGAGGATTTGAGGAAAGAAGAGCAAAAAGCCCTCTTCCTCTTTTTCCCTGTTCTCGCCCGAAACCCCGGGAATCGCTCGCCACGAAGTCCTTGGTCTACACCATACAAGCCGAGACTGCCATTGCATCGACCGATACGAGAAAAACCCCAAGAAAAAGATGCTAACCTTCCCCGCTTCCGATAGATGCTCACCCCCGGCGCTGCCCCCGCCGAGCAGCAGGCCCAGCCTACTCTGTAAATGGCCCCCCCAAAAATTGAAAAGGAAACAATTCTCCGTCGCCGAAGGCCGCCAAAGAGGAAAAGATCGCAACAATGAGTGATTGAGGAAGTGTGGATCGAAAAGAACAACGACGGATCTTTTCTTCCGCGATGAGATCCGCTATCCGTATCGTCGTTCAACTCCATTCCCTTCTCTTCCCCTTCTGTGTATAAACAAGACCCACCCGGATGGAACTCCAGGATTTGCTGGGACAGACGACGCAAAAAAAAGTTATATACACTGTACAGAATGGCCCTGGGGTGTGTGTGTCCCCGGCAGAGGGAAATGAAGAATCACGGTGTTCTTCTTCTTTTTCCACTTTCCCCTCACATTTTGTTCGCTTTCGGAAACCATCTTTGGCCTTGCCTTTCAACTTTGTTCATCCCTCTTCCACCCTCCCGTTTCCTTGGGCGATGTGTGTTGTATTTGTATAATCGGTTTTTTTTGTGTCTGTTTCGTTGATGTGTCTACTCCTATCAATTTTTTAGTCATGTTTTTGGGGAACTCATGTTTCTAGATTTTCATGAAATGTGAATGATTTCAAGATTTGGGAACTTTGGGGGGTTATATTGTGGGCGAGAGGTATAGAAACGTCTTAGCCTCGTTTTAGATGTAGGACTATGCCATGTGCGTAAACATGATCGGGAAGATGGAGAAACAATAAGATTGTGATGATTGAAGGATAGAACAAGCAAGCAGGAAGGGTATCATGGAAAAATGACGGAAAGATGGGCCGATTATAGGCAGCGGAGATCCCTAATATGGATATAAGAAAAAAAAGCGACCACAGATGAACGTGTCGAGGCAAGTGGAGGTAAAACGCCTCTCTGGTTAACCTGTCTTAGTCTTGTAAGAATAGTCTCATGGGAAAAGTGTCGAAGACAAGTGAAGCAGCATGAGAAAGTGCCCTCGGCCTAGAACTGAAGGAGGCTGACTGGCTGGTTATATCGAGCGATGAAGTGGGAAGGTTTCTCGAACCCCATCCTGGAACAAAGCACTCGCGATCCTATCCGAGGGACTGTGAAGTCACCGTCAGCAAGAGTCTCCAGACTTAGTGGTATTTAGCATCCAAGGGTTGTTTAAGTTGGACATACACTGGATTCGCGGGCGGTTCGCAGATCGATGTGGAAATCGCGCCAGAGTTTCTTGACCTCGCCCTCCTGGACCATCTTCTCCACCGCTTTGATGGCATACTTGGTTTGCTTGCGGTGGCTCCAGTGGCTGCGTTCGAGGATCCGCGCATCGGACAGGTAGCCCTTGAGGCGCAAGTGGTCGGTCACCCACTCGTTGAGACGGAAGCGCCAGTGGGTTAGAGTGTGAGCCAGGTTCGCTTTGGTCTTGCAGTGTCTGGGTGGGTTGTTTGTTAGTGGGTGTGTTCGCTGATGATCCTGGCAAGTAACATACCGTCCGAGGTAGAAGCGCGTATTCTCGTCCGGCAAGACGTGCCCGTCTCGGTCCCTTTCGCGGCTGTCCCTTTGTTCGTTGTCAGACTGCTCCTCCTCGTCGTCATCATCATCAGTGTTCTCATCCTCGAGCGGTTCCAGGGTGTCCAAAGCGTAGGCTTTGCCGTAGAGCTTGATGTCGAAGGACGCCGGGTGGCCAGAGCGCTTGCATGCATCGCACGGATGGTTATCAAAGGTCGGATAGGATGTCACTTCTATGTGTGGTCGTGCCAGAAGTGCGCGGCGGAACTCGGCCGTCCACACCGACGACACCAGCTGTGATCCCGTGCGGCCTTTGACTTCGTCCTCGAGTTTGCTGAAGGCTAGTTCGTAGACTGGACTCGAGCGCGGAAAGGCTGGATTCAGCTTGTTGTGCACCATCCATTCCACCGCGTCCTGGAAGTAATCTTTGAGTTGCTTGTATGCGTGACGGGTGAACTCGAATGGCATTTCGTCGAGACCGCCGGGCGCACCCAGTAGATCGTCCTCATCTTGCAGGACGAAGTCATCCTCGTAGCGGTCTAAATCATCATTGCCTGCAATAGATGATTCGACGTCGCTGTCGTCGTTTCTACTAAGCGATCGGGGCTTGATGGCGGCAGCGGCCTGCTCACTTTCCGCTGCGCTTTCGTTCTCCTCGCCCTCGCCTTCGCCTTCATCTCCGCTCTCTCCTGCCTCGAGCTGGGAATCCTCCTCGTCCGATTCAGGCTTTCCTTCTCGCCGACGGCGCAGAGCTTCCAAATGTTGCTGTCTTTGGGCTCTGGCGGAGTTTGCTAGACGGCCTCTGGTCCTAGTTTCCTTCACCACTGTAGCAGATGTCATTAGTGTACTGTCAGATCAGGGAGAGAAAGAGAAAGAAGTACCTGAGTCTTGCAGAGCTTGGAGGTCCTCCTCGATGTCCAAGTCATCTTGATCTCTGGTACGACGCGGCGTTCGAGGCGCAGTCGGCAGATCATCATCGTCGTCGTCCTCGATCTCTTCGACAGGCTGAGAAACAGTGCCCCGCCTTAGCTTTCGGCGAGGTCTGCTGACGATTTCATCGCCGTCGCTGTCGTCTGATATGACTTGTAGAGACGGCTCACTATCGGAAGCCTCTTCTGATCTCTTTCGCTTCAGCGACGTCGGGGCAGATCGTTTGCGCGCGCTGCGAGTCATGTCGATGTCACTTTCACTATCCTGCTCTGGTGTAACAGCACGGTCGGGCGTTTTGTTTGAGTCCTCTATTTAAATTCCAATCGAGGTTAGCAGATGTCAGGTCGTTCAACTTATTCGTCCCGTAGAGCATACCTTCGCGACCCGTCAGAGAACTCTTTCGGGCGCCATGCTTTGACTCCACCGTATCCGACTCGTTGGCCTCGCCTTCAGCTGACTTCTCCCTTCGAACTGACTCAGAAGTCGCATGCCTTGAACTCTTCTTCCGCGATGACCTGCGAGCGGGTTTCTGCTCCTCCACCAACCCCGCCTCTTCCCCCTCATTGCCAGACGTCGCTTCGACCTTCACAACCGAAGCCGGCGCCTTCTTCGCGCGACTGCTGCCCTTCTTGCGAGTAGATCTTAAAGCACCCTTCTGCTCCTCCGCCGAATGCGACTCGCTCCCATCGTCGGAGGATGTCTCAACCTTCACAACGGGAGCAGCAGGCGACACCGCGCGATCTTTGTCCTTCTGGCGCGCAGATTTGCGTGCGGATTGTTTCTTCACAGCCTTCGACGACGACACGGGCTTCTTGTCTTTGGCTGATCTGTCGACTTTCTTGACAAACGGTGAAGGCGAGGCGGTGTCTTGCCTGGGGCGACTGGAGAGAATGGTGGGTTTGGAAGGATGCGAATACCGGAGGGTCGCCCGGCGGTCTCTCTCTCCGTCCGAGGCGGGCTCATTCTGCTGGATGGGAGAGGAGCCTAATGGGGCGAAGGAGAGTCGCGTCTGCTTCTTCTTGCCATATGTGCGGGGCATAGGGGATAGATGCAATGTTATTTGGGGGGGCAGGAATGGTGAGGTGGGGGTGGGGGTGTACAGCAAGTCGATAATGTGGGAGGAGGGCCGGAGGGGAGGAATCGGGTCTGCAACCAACCGCGGCGGGACCGCGTCGGGGCGTGGCACGAAAGCACGTGATGGGGTTGCAATATTGCCTAATGTGAGAGACTACGGAGTGCTTCTTTGGAAGTTGGCTGTTGTTTATAGGAGAGTCAAAGAACATTCCAGCTTTCAGATGCTATACTCTGTGAACAACTGCTGCATGACAGTTGCTAATACTTGAGTGACAGCGCTGCCGTGAGAGAGCTAAAACACACTGACTCGACTGTTTTCCCACTTGCTCAAGCTTCTCAAGCTTCGATCAGCGTCCCCGACCATGGGCAGATGGCAATATTGGCAGGAATGCCTTCTAGCAACGGTCGTGGCTTCCTCAGCAGCATCAGCTCCGCCTGTAACTTCTCACACTTGCGTAGCAGTCTCATCACTGATGCATGCCGTGCTAGGTTTCGCAGATCCTCCTTCAGTTCTTACCTTCCCATGACTTGCAAAACTTACTTGCTGCATCTTAGACAACATTATTCACGCCATAGAATCCTATCACAGCCGCCAGTTTCTTGCCTCCTTCATGTATTGTCAACAGCGATTCGTTGCATTTCTTCACGCACTTCTAAGTGTGATATCAAATAGCACCCAAGAGCATCTCCCGCTGATCCCGCATCAAGTGAACGGGACCGATAAGCCCTGGATCGGATGCAGTAACCCACGCGCCAGCATATCGGATTATGTCGCAGTGTCTGAATCTCACCAACCGGATGGACCAGGCTGCACAATCACCTTGGGACATCCTGTACAACGAAAAGCGGACTCAATGCTTGACAGAGATGCAAAGGATACGATTCCGGTCAAGAACGTGGTTGAGCCAGGTCTGAAGCTCACACTGACGATAACGAACATAGAGAGAGGATCTCTGGACTTGCAGAAATGCCAGAGTATCTTTGAAGAGCTGATACTCGAGGGGCCTGGCAACCTTCTGCAGCAGCCGACACTACTCGACCGTCCACTGGCTGCTTTCCCATTTGGAGAGCATTCAGACCAAATTGCAAGCCAGGCCCTCAAACCAAGACAAATGCATGAAATTCCTCCGGAGGATCAACCTATCAAGACACTTGCAAGCGATCCACACTCCCTGGGATATCATGGGATCCTGGAATACTTGCTTGGAAAGGAGAAAGGAACGAAGACTTCCAAAAGGGCCATCGAGCACTCAAATTCTGTCATGACTCGCACAGAACACAGATGTTCATCCGTGAGTCAGAGCTCTCACAGCCTTGACTCGGATTGTGAGAACATAGGTGACGGGCATAGCTGGAGGAATACCCATACAGCAAAATCCTTCCTGGGCTTTCAGCCAAGGCAGTGCGTGATATGCCATTCCGACACAAATGTTGTTCGGGTGGACAGACGCCGCCCACAGAAGGCTAATGAACTCGATGTGTTCTATAAGATATGCGCAGTCTTCGGGGCGTCAGTCATGGTGGCAACCCTCCTTTACATCCTGCGGGAAATCTACCGACGGCTTCGTGTGCGATACTTGCTGCTTCGAGGCAGGAGCCATTGCGATCAACGTGCACCAAGCATAGCCATCAAGACAGGTTGCTCCAATCCAGCCGATGAAATGACAACTCTCATGCCCGAGGCCTCGCGAGCTTGGGAAAGACCCAGTCAAGCATCTGATATGGTGGGTGCCCAAGTTAGTGTGTCTGATTCAGCCACCCAGCAGCGATATAGGCGGTTCACTCCCTCTCAGCGAAACACCCGCAGGAAAGTTCAGGATATCTTTGACTTTGGTTCGTCTCAGGCGTGCAAGAATAATTTGACGACAGAGAGGATTCCTGTGCTTCCACCAGCTGCGAACGCGAGTGTGAGGAGGAACGTCGGCATCTGGCAGGCTCCCAAAGGACAACGGTGTGCGGTGAACGAGGAAATGGAGGGCATCGCGCACAGCAACGCATTTCTTTTTTAGGATCGGCGCTAGCCCGGTCTTCTCGAGGAACAGGGATGTTGACCCATTCATACCTGGGATTTGAATCTCGTCGGAGAAGAGTCATGGTGGTCTCGAGAGGCTATGGAAGTTTGTGGCTGCAATAGGACTAGCGAGATTGGCCAGAGACAAGGCCTCGGTTAATATACGGGTATAAGGACAGACCGGCCTCGACTGTATGCATTAGGAATGGTAACTATCGTCCGTGTGGCCGTTTGTGGTCGCCCCAATTTGCCCCAGTAGACTTAGGTAGCCCTGTAGATCCGGATCTCGTCGAGCGACATGGGACTGGGGATAGCCATCTGTGTCAACCTCGTGGCATTGATACGAACCTGAGTGTAGGGTTGGCAGATGGGAAGATCTCATTCGGGGGTAAATTGGTTGGGGAATGGGATGAGGATGGGATGAGGATGGAGGAGACGGAGAGAAGAGAGGGTCTCGTGACCGGTGATGGCGCGGATGAATCTGTCTTGCCTCTTTCTCACCTTTCGTTCATCTTCTTCTCCTCTTCGCCGCCAATCGCCTCCTCTCCTTCTCACCTGATCCTTTCTCTATCCATTCCCCCCCCCTCTATGTGAAAGTGCGACAAGTCTTGAATTAATCTATTTTGCCATTTCCATTGGTGGATCCGGATTAGCCCCCATTTGGCGTTCTTACCGCGGCTGATTCGTGGGAAATGGGATGACTTGGGCCGTGTGTCGTTGAGAATTTCCTCGAATCTCGACCCCGGATTTCTCCACGATACGACAGCCCCGACAATGGGTCCCGTCTGGGGAATTGCTCCATCCATCTCCATCGCTGCTTTGCAACTCACCCCGGAATCCCCACTCCACTTCACCCTCCCCCGACTCAAATCCTGGAGACAAGTGTCGGGGAAAACTTGTCAAGGTCGGTTAGTGCATGCACAGGTCTGGGGTCTGGGGGAGCTCTGGCCCCCCGCCTTTCTCCCAACTTTCGCCTCCCACCAGGGTTACGTTCAGTTTAGCGTCCACTCTAAATGCTGCATGGGGTGATGCTAGGGCGTAGGATGGCTTGATATAGCGCTTGCCACCTGGCTGCTGGCACGCGGCATGGTAGCTTATCTGCTTATGGTCATCCTGGTTCGAGGTCGCCCGCTTCGCATATTTATACCCACAGCCCGCATCTCCTGCTGCATCTTTTCTTTCCTCCTCTCTTCTGTCTGTGTCTTGCGCTTCTCCCCATCAGTCCTTTGTAGCCCCGGTTGGCTTTAAGAGGTGGCCCTTCAGGACGACCACCTGGTGATATTCACCTATTCGTTCTTGTTTTACCCTCCCTCCACTAGACCGTTTCAGATACACTGTCGTCAAGATGATTGAGAAATTCACGTCAAAGCGAGCCTACAACTGGTGAGTCTTGCTCCTCAAGCAGGCTATTTGAACACTCCCTCTAATCGACCATTCTTCAGGTTCATTTCCCTAGTTGCAGCAGCATGCATGGTGCTTTATGGTTATGATGCCTCCGTCTACAATTCCGTCCAGGGCTCGGACAACTGGACAGCCTACTTCCATAACCCGGACAACAATATGATCGGAGCCGTCAATACAGCCTACACTGTGGGTGCGATCTTCGGAGGTTTCTTCCTCGGTGGTCCCATTGCCGATTTTCTTGGCCGTAAGATCGGAATGGCCATTGGCTGTGTCTTGGTCATTGCTGCCACCTTCATGCAGTGCTGGTCGCCGCGGGGCAGTATTGCTTGCTTCCTTGCGGGACGCTGCATTATCGGTATTGGCCAGGGTGTTGCATTGAGTGAGTTACATGCGAGACGTCTTATCAATCCAGGACTACAGCTAACCGTGTGTGTTTTCCAGCTGCCGGCCCTATCTACATCGGTGAACTTGCACCGCCCGAGATCCGCGGAAAGATCATGACCTTCTGGCAGATGTTCTACTCCGTTGGCTCTTTCATCTGCTTCTGGATTAACTATGGCTGCACGAAGCATTCAAAGAACCTGGGAGAGTGGGACTGGAAGCTGGTCGTCATCTTCCAGCTTCTCGTTCCCGTCATTATTCTGGCTATTCTGCCTACCATCCCCGGCTCGCCTCGCTGGTATGTCTAACACTTCTTTTCCTTCTACAGGAATAAGTCTTGCTGACCCTCCCATAGGTATGTCCAGCGTAAAGACGATATTGAGAAGGCGCGCTCGGCTCTCCGCAGAGTCCGCGAGACCGACGAAGAGGTCGAGGAGGAGCTGCTCAAGATCCGGGAAGCCCTCGAATACGAGAAGGAGGCGATCTCCAGCAACTACAGCGCGCTCTGGAAGGACAAGTCCCTCCGCAAGCGTATGGGATTGGCGCTGGTCATCAACGCTGGTCAGCAGATCACCGGACAAGGAACCCTGAACACCTACTCCACCAAGATCTACGAGAAGGTCTTCACGAGCGCCAGCAAGATCGCCCTCATCAACGCCCTCAACGCCACCTTCGGTATCCTGTTCACTCTGAACGCCGTCTGGGTCATCGACCGCTTCGGACGCAAGTTCCTCCTGATTGTCGGTGGTATCGGCATGGGGATCTGCATGATCATCGTCTCTGCGGTCGAGACCGAGACTCCATCTCCTGGGGGTGCGAAGACGGAGTCAGTGGGCATATCGATCGTGTTCCTGCTGTTCCTGTTCATCTTCTTCTGTAAGTGCCCCCTCCCCCGGTCTTTGGGTTGCGCACAAGCCCTTTGGGAACCAGCCACTAACGAGCCACAGACAAACCATCCTGGGGCGCCACCGTCTGGATCTGGACGTCCGAGGTCTTCTCCATGAACGTCCGCGCGCAGGCCGTGGGCATGGCCTCGCAGACGCAGAACGTCGCCAACGCCATCGTGCAGCAGTTCTTCCCCACCTTCCTCAACAACTGCGGGTTCTACGCGTTCTACATGTTCGCGGGCATCAACTTCCTGCTCGCGCTCTTCGTCTGGTTCTTCATCCCGGAGACCAAGCAGGTTCCGCTCGAGGAGATCGACGCGCTCTTCGGCGGCGCCAACCACGTCACGCAGGGCGAGGACCTGTTCGCCCATGAGAAGTCGATGCGCGTGACCAGCGAGAAGCCGTACGCCACGACGGTCGAGGATGCGCGGGTTTAGGTGTGGGGGTGTATAGCTGAGAGAGTTTGCCTGACTAGCTGCACATACGGTATTGTGGTAGCTGGAATAATAGTATTGATGATACCCGGTTGGGACTTGGCCATAGTGCTCAGTTGCCGTCGCTTGCTCCTTGATCCAAGTGTGCCCATGATATCTCGCTCCCATCAGCGTAGATAAACCGTCCTCGTGAGCTTCCGACCAGACTCCAGTTCTATCGCGCTCACGCACTCCCACCGTATGATGGACACCCCCTCTAGATAAAATATATATTCCCACGTAGCACCGCCTCTCCCATGAGTATTCTTTCCAATGCCACAAATCCGATACCACCTCCGTCCACTCCCGCTTCCACCTGCGTCCTTCGGCTCATGCTCATCTCCACCATCGAACGCCCCACCCCCCAAACTCGCCCGCGAGACTAGTATACCATGCGAGAACCGCTCCGCCTCCTGACAGCCGCTGCTGCCACAGCCGCTACCTCCACCACCCTCCACACCCTCCCCACTACCAGTACCAGCATCAGTACCAGCACCACAATCCCAATCCCAAACATGAATCCCTTCGCCCCGATTGCGGTTGCAGTCCCTGAACGCAGACCCCCGGCCCCCATCACCGAGAAGCCGGTACACGGATCGCTTGACCCCGTCTTCTGGAGTGGTATTGCTATCGCTACTGCGTGATGGTCCTGTGGTTTCTGGCTGGTGCGGTGGACTCGGGGACTGATCCTGAGGCTTGGGGTTTGTTTCAGTTTCAGTCTCGGTCTCAGTGTAAAGATACTCGCGCTCGTAGCCTGGCAGGGTGGAGTAGCGTGGTTTGAAGAGAGCGGAGCCGGTGGTTGGTGATTCTGTTTTGGTATCTAATGGTTTCGGATCTGCTAGCGAAGCAGAGGGTTCGTTCTTGTGGGGTCTTGTTGTTGTTGTGCGGGAGAAGTGCCATGCGCCGTGTAGGGCGCGGAAGATGGCTGTTGCTGTTGCTGTTGCTGTTGGCGCTTCGCCAGTGGATGCTGTGCTAGGGGTTGGGGAGAGGGTGGTGGTTAGGGAGGTTAGGGTCTTTGTGGGGTTATCGGGTGGTGACGATGAAGCTGAAGCGGAGGGGTAGGGATATCTAGCCGGTATGACGGGGTCAAGGAGCGGGTGCTGCTGGTCTGAAGCCGAGTCTGAGTCTGGGGTTGGGCTTGGAATAGGCAGGCGAGGAATCCCCAGCTCCCTGGCGAAGGACTCCATGAGGCCGACGTAGTCGCCCATGGGGAACTGGCTCCTGTGCCTGGTCTGGTGGCGGAGGCGGCGCAGTTTCTCCCTCTCGGTTTCGGGTTCGGTTGCCTGTGGGAGGGTAGGGGAGCGGTCTTGTGTCGATCGCTCAGCCGGAGATCTACTCCAGCGCGCGGCCAGACTCCGCGCTTGCATCTCCATGACACCCCAGTAGGGACCGCGGTAGAAGCCCACAAACCCCAGATCCGGGATCTCGGAGTGTGAGGTGCCCTTATTGTCGAGGATGAGGGGGATGAATGCGTCGTCTGGGGCGTATTCGAGGGTCGAGAGGATGGAGGGCGGGAGGAAGGCGAGCGAGTCGCGGGGCGTGAAGCCCGTGGCTAGGATGATGGCAGCGACGTTGTCCAGGATGCTAGATTCTCCGGTTGGGAGGTTGATTGCCAGACGTGCGCGTGCGCGATCGTCCGACGAGCTCAGATGGGCGACGCGGCCGATGGTGACCTTGACGGCCCCGGCGCGCACGTATTCCGCGTAGTCGTTGCCGATGGCCACCCAGGAGGGTTGCAGCTCCAAATCCTCCGGACAGACGCCAAAGCTCCCGATCCGTGCGTACTCGCTGCCCAGCAGCTGACGGAGCCAGGCATTCGATCTGGAGATCTGGTCCGGCGCGAGCGGGCCGACAGCGTACTCGATCTGGCCGGGGGGACGACGGGCACGGTCGTAGAAGACGAGGTCGAGGGGGAGGAAATTCACCGCCGTCCCGGGGGCTTCTTGGTCGGGAGATGTGTGGGGTAAGTAGGTCGGCACCGTCCAGAACGGACGCGAGCAGATGTGATGGACTTCGAGCGGCGCATGGCCAGGAGTCGAAGAAGAAGAAGAAGAAGAAGAAGAAGAAGAAGAAGAAGAAGAAGAAGAAGAAGAAAGATGCAAGGCCACCGCCGACGCAGCCTCGACGCCCGACATACTGCCCCCCACGACCACTAATTTCCCTCCAGCACCAGCATCAGCATCAGCATCAGCATCAGCATCAGCATCAGCATCACCAGATCCCCCAACCTGAACCCGCTCCAGCAACCCCTGCACATCCTCCATCTCCTGCACCGCAGAACTATGCACCATCCCCCCCTCGAACCCAGAGATAGGGATATCCATCCCCACCGGCCGAGCAAAGTACCCCGACGCGACAACGAGGTAATCAAACCGCTCCGTCCGCGTCCCGGTATCATCCCTACAACAACAACAGCAACAACAACAAGTCAGCAATCCCCCCAACCCCTCGAATCCGCGAAAAGAACAGCACACTCACCCTCCCTGCACCCACTCCACCACCCACCCAGCCCCAGCATCCCCCCGCTCAACCCGTACAACCTCACACCCCAACCTCACCACCCCCGCCCCCTCCCGCAAAAGAAACCGCTCCGCATACGTGTCCAAGTACCTGCGCACCTGCCTCGCCTCCGGAAACATCGGCACCACCTCCCCCCCACCCTCCCCGAGGACGCTCTCCCACCCCAGATCCGAGAACGCGACCGTGTACCGACTGAGATTCGTGCGCATGGCGGGGTTCACGAAGCCTCTGGTTTTTCGGCGAGTCTGGGTCTGGGTCTGAGCGGTGTCTGCTCCATCTGTCGCAGGGCAGGCCCACAGCCCGCCGATGCGGGTGGTTTTCTCGAAGATCGTGGGAAGGAAGAATCCTCCGGGGGCATTGTGGAGGAGGGTTTTGGCAGTGACGAGGCCGGAGGGGCCGGCTCCTGGTTGGTGGTATTAGTATAGTATAGTATTTGGGGATGTTGAGGGTGAGGGGAGGGGGAAGTTGAGGTTGAGGGGGAAGGGTGCAGACCGATGATGGCTACTTTCTTCGGAGCGTGGGGGTGGGGCATGGTGGTACAGTAGCAGCGGAGGTGGAGGTGGAGGTGCAATTGAGGTGAGGTGAGGAGGTGATTGATGATAACTTCAAAGGAGATAGTCTTGTCCTGGAGATAAGAAGTCGGCGAGGGGAGGAGGGATTGACCTTCACTTAGGTTACCCCGCACTATATATTCACTGCGCTAACTATCCCTCCCCGCTTGGGGAAAGTTATGCAGGTTGCGGTGCTTACGGCACGGAGGGCACCACAGATATCAAGTCTGGTTTGTAGTAAGAGGCAAGTTTATTTTGTTGGTTTATTCTCTATCAGTATTGGTGTAGATAGTATCTAGATTGCCACAAAAATAACCAGAAAAAAACAGGAACCAAGTGTGTCGTTACATTCATTCCAAATACAAGTCCCATGCTAATGTGGAAGCAAAGCGATGATATGTGCATAATGTACAGCCGTATCTCAGGGCTGAAGCAGGATGTTGATAATGATGATGGTAGGAGGTGTATGTGGGAGTGACAAGCATTCACTCCGGAGCGGGGTATATCGTGCATCATTCCTTTGTCACAGGACATGATTGGGGGGGATTGAAGTTGAAGACGAGATGTCGGTTCGTGATGGACCTGACCCAAGGAGCTCCATCACGGATGGTACCTCAATTCGTCGGGGAAAGGCACCGTGCAAGCACCATGACGCTCACAGACGGTGCTGCAGCGGCGAAGCAGGAGCCGGAGTCTCCACGGCCGGGGAGGCCAGGGGCGTGTACGAAGCGGACGGCGACACGTCCGTCAAATTCAACCGGGTGACGAGCTTCTTCCACGACTCGAGACCGCGCAGCGCGTGCTGCTTGGGGGTATCGGGGTGAGGGTCGGCGAGGGTGCGGGAGAAGAGCTCCAAAGAAACCCAGCCCTCGAAGCCGGTATCGAAGAAGGCCTGGGCAACCTCCTGGACGGGCAGATAGCCGCCGCGGTCCTCCTCGAAGGCGAACAGGCGGGCGTTGCGCGACCAGTTCATGCGGGTGGGCTGGCCGGGGACGTGGAAGGGGTGGGACTCGTCGAGGGGGGCGGTCAGGCGCTCGCCGTCGACGATCTGGATGTAGAAGACCTTTTTGACGTCGACGCAGGCGCGCAGCTTGGCCAGCGAGGCGGCCAGGTCGGCCTCGGCGTTGGGCGTCTTGCCGCTGGGGTGCGCCGGGTCCGCGTACACACGCCCGGCCAGGTTGAAGGTGTCCAGACACAGCCCGAAGTTGGGCCGGTCCACCTGCTGCACCACCTCCCACGAGGCGTCCCACGTGTCGACGTGGTTGCCCCAGCACAGGGCCTCGTAGACGAACCGGAAGGGCGGCGACTGCTGCAAGCCCAGATCGGCGACCCGCTGCAGGTCGGCCACGATCACGCTGCGGTCGCCCGTCGTGCGCAGCTTGCCTGTCGCCGGGTCCGCCAGGAGGAAGTTGGACGGGATCTGGATCAGGTCCGTGTCGAGGATGCGCGCCAGCTCGAACCACCGCGGCAGCTTCTCGGTCACCATGCGCTCCGACTCCTCGCGGTCCAGCAGCCCCTCGTAGAAGCAGAAGGGCTGCAGGCAGATGATGGTCAGCCCCAGCGAGTCGCACAGCCGGCGCACCTGCTTGGCGGCCGCCGTGTGGTCGCCCTGGAACAGCGTTTTGGCAAAGTGGTCGAGATCGTCGAAGAACAGCTCAATGCCCTCGTAGCCGTGCAGAGCAGCCTGGTGCAGCTTGCCGGAAAGACTGTGAATGCCCGGTCGACCCAGCGACATCGAGGCAATTCCCAAACGGTTCGGCATGTTGTGCGGTGTAACTGAGATGGGTTGGATGGGGGCGGGTGATGGAAAGAATGGCAAGGGGGAGAAGAGAACTTGGGAAGGGGAAATAGATGAGAGCAGCAGTGGGATGGATCTATATTATGACCTGTCGAAAAGATATGATGTGATAGATACGAATCCTTAGGATGTTATCGTGACGGAATGGACGAATGAACGGGCCGCGTCACCTATTTCTAAGCGTTTCGATTCAGGGGGGGGAAAGAGAGAAAGAGAAAGTGCTAAAAAAGCAATTTGTTGATAAAGCGCAAATAATGGCCGAGGGAAGGTTCATGTATTGGCGCAGATGTCTTATACTCTTTCCCACAATAATGGAGACCATTCAGGAGGGCGAGATCCATTCTTGCAGGGCCTGGGGAAGAATGATTGTCAGCAGAATCAGTTAGGGCTGTTTGTTCTCTCTGCCTGGAGGGAAGAAGAGGAAAGGGTCAGTGGTCAGTGGTCAGTGACGGGCGGGCGGGCGGGAAAGCGCTTTGCCCAGCCACTTCCTCGCCTGCATTTATCCGTCCGTCACACAATAGTGCGGCAGTGGCTTCGGGAGACTGCGGGATGACGGCCTCCTTCCTCATTCCCTTTTCAACCCTTTATCCCCCCCCCCGTCCATCTGTGGTACTCTCTCTTGTTTTTGTCTTCCGGGACACTAGGTACCTAATTGTTTTTACTGTTTCTTGGTATCACGGTTAGTCTAACCTGGCTATTTCACTCATTATCGCCCCTGAAAGCGCCACCGCCATCGTGTCTAAACCTTGATACTACACACTCTCGGGGCGCTTGCCTTGGCCATGGCACCGCCAAGGTCGTACCAAGTGATGCTCCACCGCTCCCAATCAATAGAGTTTTCATGGCCCAAGATCTGATACGACCGGCAATCAAAAGGAATCGAACCAGGTATGTCATAAACAATAGGTATGTTGACTATCTAAACAATCGTGATATCCAAGACAATACAAAGAAATACATTAACAATCATTCGCAGGTCATTGTAGCCCGCCAGGCTGAAATGATAAGGAGCAAATTGAAACCCCAAAGCAAGGCTTTAGACCTTGGTCGCCGTGTCTTCCACCTGGTGCACCTCGGACTTGGTGAACCCGGACTCCTCCAGGTCGCGGCGGAACCGCTCTTCGTCCTCGCGCATCCGCTCCAGAACGACGCCGTGCGCCTTCCACACAGGCTGGATCTCGAACAGGGGATCCATGTTCTCCAACGGGACACCCTTCGTCTCGGGAATCAGGAAGAACACAAAGATGAACGAAAGGATCATCAAGGACGCGAAGAAGAAGTACACGCCATACTCCATCTTCTCAAACATCTGCGGGGTGAACCGCGAGATGAGGAAGTTCCAGAGCCAGTTGGATCCGGCGGCACAGGCTTGAGCCAGCGACCGCACATTGGGGTCAAACATTTCCTAAATTGGCCGGTTAGCGTTGTTCAGTCGGCAGTGGAGCAGCAGGGGGAGCTTACCGAGTTGATCACCCAGGGAGTACCGTTCCAGGTGGGGGTGTAGAACGCCGTCCACAGGTAGAAGAAGAAGATGGCAGCGATGCCGCCGCCGTTCAGCGACTGGGTGTTGTTGTTCACGGGATCCGCGATCTTGATGTACGCGCCAATGATCCACATACACACGGAACCGCCAATGGCACCGATCAGCAGGAGGTTGCGTCTTCCCACACGGTCGATGAGCCAGAGGAGCCAGACGAAAGTCACTACGGTCTTGACCACCCCGAAAATGCCCGTGGTCAGCAGACTCGAGTTGGTGCCCTTCAGGCCGATCGATTTGAACACGGTAGGGGAGTAGTAGTTGATGGCGTTGATGCCCGAGCCGTTCTGCCAGAAGAAGAGCATGCTGCCGAGGAACAGCCGGTACAGGATCTTCTTGTTGGTCCAGACGGCCTTGAAGGGCTTCCAGAAGCCCAGTCCGATCGTGTTCCGCTGGGCTTCAATGGACTGGTCGATGGCACCGATCTCTTCCATCATGTAGATGTGGTCCTCGGGGATCTGGCGGATCCAGCAGAGGTTCTTGATGGCCTCCTCGCGCCTCCCGCGGAGGAACAGCCAGCGCGGAGACTCCCGAACGAAGACGATACCGATGAGGAGCAGACCCGCAGGAATCAGCTGCACGGCAAAGGGGATGATCCATTGCTTGTGGCTGGGAGCCAGCGTCTCACTAACACCATACTGTTTCCGCATGATTAGCCCGAGTCCAGTAAAAATAGACGTAGATAAGACTCACGTTGATCCAGAAGCCAACCAGGCCACCGATTTGCCACCCCAGCTCATAGACACCAACCAACCGGCCGCGGATGGCAGGCGGGGCCAGTTCGGAGATGTAGATGGGCGTGATGTTAGACCCCGCGCCTACGCCAATTCCAGCCAGGACACGGCCAGCGTAGAGGAGGCCCAGACCCCGGTCGCCGTTGACACCCAGCATCAAGCCCGCCCCCAAAATGAAGACCAGCGCAGAAGCGAGCAGGCCCCACTTCCTACCCCAGAAATGCCCGATCGGGTACGCAAAAAATGCTCCGAAGAAGGCCCCGGCTTGGTAGCAGGAGACGATGTTGGCACTGACCAGGTTCTGGGTGGCCGTGGACATGGAAGCCCAGTCGAATTCATCCTTGAAAGACTGCAGCGACAGCGTTGTCCCAATGAAGGCACTGTCGTATCCGATCATGCATGATGTGAACGAGGCGACCGCCGCCAGGAGATAGATTCTCCAGTTGTAGACCTCCTTAGGCGTCGGCCTGTCCTCGACCATTGAAAGAATTCCCATGATGGATGATGATCACCCCTGGGGCTAGACACTTATTTATACCTGTGCCTTGTTGAGGGAGGAGTAAAGACGGAGAAGGCTAGGGGAAGGAGGAAACAGATACTGTGAGCGAGGAGAGGGGATAGGAGGTAACGAGCTAGGCGAGAAGTGTTTGAGGGTCTTGGTGATCGGAGAGAGATGTTGATGATGGTGAGAAAGAAACAAATCCTGCTCCTCGAGGAAGTGGGCTTATATAGCTCAGACTACCTTCCCCAGTCTAAGCAAAATCCGGGGTGCGGAGGGAGGCAAAACTCAGGCAAATCAAAACCCCAGATATCCAAGGACTACACCAGAGAAAGTATCGTGGGAAAACGATGGAGCGGGAAAACGATCCACGCGCAGAGTAAACACGCCCAGCGAATTTGCAGCCAGCAGCCAGCAGAGAGCAACCAAAGGCAAGCCAAGGGAATGGGAAGGAGAAGCGCAAAGTCTGTCACCACGTGTGCCGGCGCAACGATTGGACCTAGACCAGCTTGGCCCTCGCCAGACCGTAGACCGTGACTAACTCGCACCACGGACAGGAAAAAGCATGTCATGTGCGGCCGGACTGCGCCTATTGGGGCCAGAGGGTGCGCTCCCCCATGGGATCTGAGGCCGATGTTCGGCCTGGCGTCTCCACTCGGGAGGGACAGAAAACTTAAGAAAGCAGATTAGGCGAGGGCGAGTGTGTCAGTTTGTGGGGGGGTGGAAGGGGATGTTGCCAGTCGCCCGTCGCCCACAGAAATCGACGGGCTCAACCCGTGGGAAACTGAGATGCAAGCCCCAAGGCTTCGCATTCAGCGGACTCTGGGCCAAACCCTAAGCGGGAGGAGATACGAAGATCGCACATTAAGCGGGCCAATGAAGAGAGAACGATAGCGACAGTGGCTGGGGAAAGTGCTTCGCCGGAGAAGGTCTCCCCGTGGGGAAGAAGGAAGAAGAATAGAGACTAAGCCAGAGACTAAGCCAGAGACTAAAGCCGCGCCGTCGGAGTCTCGGGGATTTCGCGAGTGGCGGGAAAAGGGTTCTGCCCGTTGGCGGCGTGAGTTCATGCCGCTGCAGCGCCCAGTGTGTCAGTGGATCCATGCCACCCAGCATGATCCACTCACCATCAACCTATTTTCCATGTTCCAGGAACCGAGTGAGGGGCAACGGAAGAGAGATTTGGAGCACAGGCTACAGTCCAGCACTTGATCGTAGACTGGTGGTGGAGGTGGAGGTGAAGGAGGAGCAGGCAGAGGAAGAATGGAGAAAAAGGAAGAGCCGGGAGAGTGGAGGTAAAAGTCAAAGCCGAAAGATCTCTCCCGCAACAAGAAAAAAAGTCTCATGGCAGCCTTGACACCTGAGGGCTCCCCCCCCCCCTCCCTCGTCATTGGCCTTAAATCTTTCCCCTTCTCTCCTTCTCTACTCTTCCAATCCTCTCCCTTTTTCTCTTCTTTCTCGATACAAGAAACGCAATTGCAGGCAATTCACTTCTTTTTGTCCTCTCTCCCAACCCCCAAAGACACGCACCACCATGACCTCCACGAACCCCCAACCCGAAGAACCCATCACCATCCCCGCGGACCGGGATGGAGTCGCCTACCTGTACGGCCACCCGCTGCTGAACTCGCTGTCGCCTCCCCTGCACAAGACCGTGTACGAGAAGCTGGGGCTGAACTGGATTCAGATCCCGCTGTCGAGCGTGACGGGGAGCTCGGAGACGTACCCGCCGCCGTACACGCGGTCGCCGCCGATCGACAAGTTCCTGGCGTCGATCCGGGCGAACCCCAAGTTCGTGGGGTCGTCGGTGACGATGCCGTGGAAGGTGGGGATCATGCCGCACCTGGACGAGCTGACGGAGGACGCGCGGCAAGCCGGGGCGTGTAACACGATCTTTGTGCAGACCGACGAGACGACCGGGGAGCGGCGGTACGTGGGCACCAACACCGACTGCAACGGGATCCGGGAGGCGCTGGTGCAGAACTCGCCGGACCCGGCGCGCTTCCGCGGCAAGCCCGCGCTGGTCGTCGGCGGCGGCGGCACCGCCCGCACCGCCGTCTACGTCTTCCGCAAGTGGCTCGGCGCCAGCCAGATCTACATCGTCAACCGCGACGCCGCCGAGGTCGCCGCCATCCTGGAGGAGGACCGCCAGCGCAATGCAGGCCTCTCCAGTCTCGCCCCGATCATCCCCGTCACCGACCCCGCCGCCGCCGCCGCCCTCGAGACCCCCGCCGCCATCGTCTCCGGCATCCCCAACTACCCGCCCAAGAGCCCCGAGGAGATCAACGCCCGCCAGGTGCTGCAGGCCCTGCTCGGCCGCAAGGACGACGCCAAGCCCAAGGGCGTCATCCTGGAGATGTGCTACCACCCCGTCCCCTGGACCGAGATCGCCGAGCTCGCCGACGCCGCCGGCTGGAAGGTCATCCAGGGCTCCGAGGCCCTGATCTGGCAGGGGCTGGAGCAGGCGCGTCTCTGGACCGGGCGCGATATCATCGGCACCCCTGGGGTGGTCGATGCGGTCAAGGAAATGGTCGCCAAGACGATCGCCGAGCGGACGCAGCCCAAGTCTGCTTAGTTTTTGCGGTAAATCTGGATGACACCACCTTCATGGTTTTATGATTTCTTGTACAGAATTCTAGCATACCCGGAGCATTTGCTTGTTGTTTGAAAGCATATACAAAAAAGGAATAGATGAATTGTATATATTTGCCTCTTGACATGATTCATGCCCCAGCTTATAAGTCTAGTAGACGACGGTATATTCACCGTATGTTTCCACTGTATGTTTCTGGAAGGTATCTATCTATCTGTATTGCGGAATGACTTAAGCCCCCGGGCGGGAGAAGTCCAACTGCCGCACGCGCTTCCATACTTCGCGCACCGTGCGCTCTTGCGATTGACGTCCAGTCTCGGTCTCGGACGGACCCGCGGGTCTGTACGGGTTAGTCACCGGCATTGCACTGGGAGGCTCCAACAACCACATACCTAATACCAAGATACAACCGACTTCCCAACTTGTACTCCTCAATCGGATCTGTCTCCGGATTCTTGGGGGGGTTGGCCGTCGTGACCAAACCACCGGCCTCCAGCAGAATGGCAATGCCCGCAGCGACATCCCTGGTGTTACTTGGTCAGTACCCATCACGAGGAATATCTGTGATCGACGCGAAATAGCAAAGCACCCAACTCACCACTCCCAGCAACCCCCCTCCCACCAGATATCAAACGAGCCCATGGCCGTGTAGGCGAGATCCAGGGTGGCGCTGCCCAGACTGCGCACGCCGTGCACCATGCCGCCCTTGCCGCCGCGGCTGCCCGTCTCGGCGGCCAGGTTCAGGAAGCTCTCGATCTTGCGGTACATGTTGCCGTCGGGGATGTCGCGGCGGTCCTTGCCCCACTCGCAGGAGAGGATACACTTGCCCGGGGCGTTGGCGGGCATCGGCGGGATGGACGGCTTGTGGATGAGCGGGAGGCGGCGCTTCTCGTTCAGCCAGGCGCCGCGGTTGACACACGAGGAGAACAGCTGGTCCTGGAAGGGGGCGTAGATGACGCCGATGACCGGGCGGTGGTTGACGATGAAGCCGATCGAGACGCAGAACATGGGGAAGATGTGCGTGAAGTTGACGGTTCCTGCTACGGTTAGTCTTCCAGAGTTGACAGGTAGAGATGGGGCGCATACCGTCAAGCGGGTCGATACACCATGTCGGCTGCTCATCGATCAGATACTCGCGGGATTGGCCCTTGGCGTATGATTCTTCGCCGAGGAATCTGCAATTCGTCGGTCAGTCGTTGGGTCCCGGCAGGACTGCACGGGAGATGAGAACGCACTTGTGTGAGGGGTATCGGTCTTGGATCGAGCTCTTGATGAATGCTTCGACATCTGGAATGCAGTGAGCTTGATGCGCGGCGCTATGTTTGGGAAGCTGAAAAGAAAGGGGGGTCTGGGGGTTCTTCCCCAGAACGCCCATCCCGCTCAAGTCTCCCAGAATAATAGCATCCTGGGGGAGAACCCCCAGACCCCCCTTTTCTTTCAGCTTCCTGGAGACGACGTGTTGCAGTGCGTGTTGTATAGGTAGAGGGGTCCCGCACCTTCGTCCGTCTGAGTCACAATGTCCACCGCGCTGTCTTTCTCCAGAATCGCCTGGCTCCCCCCATCGAGTCGCTTCTCGACGCTCTCGAGCAGCAGCTGGCCGGCCTTGCGCCCGAGATCCACCGCGAATACGTAGATCTCGTCCAGCTGCTCCTGGCTGAACTCGGGGGCGGCCATTATCACTTGGTGTTGTGCGGGGTAGGTTGAGGACCGTCACTGGTGGGTCGCGTCTATGATGTGCACAGTTCGGTGCACAACTCGACAGAGATAGTGTCTAGTCTATAGTCTCAGGAGTATATGCAGGGTATGAGACAGAACAAGACAAGAGGATAGAGGCGAGCACGAGGTTGCGATGAAGAGTGAGCAAGCTCGGAGCGGCGATAGTGAGGAGGTTTCCCGCTTCTTTCACCGCTGATAACCGACTTATCAGTGGGTCCTGCTCCCTCACGTGGGTCATCCGACTGTTGATGCAACTATCGATGCATTGCCACTGGTCGAGTAGTCAGTTGAGTAGTTGCAATTGATCTTTATTGGGTTTGTCCTCGTAGATCTAACAGCTCCTGTTGCACTGCCCAGCAAAACTCAACAATCTTGTGTAATTCCCTACTCATCATTGTCCATCATGCTATCGAACGCCAAGCAAGTTTATTTCCCCTGCTGCTACTTCTGAGTCGCACCGCTGACACAGATGAGTGATCTCGAGGAATCGCATTCCCGGTTTACCATGAGCTTTATTTGCACTTGTGTAGCAAAGCTGGTGTTGCTCCATGATATCAGAGAATCTCTTCTTCCACGCTGTCTGTCTCATCCTCACCAACCCTGCAGAGCAATGACACCAATTGACAGCTGTGCAATGGAACCCTGGTAAATCCAGGATCATCCTACAAACGCCATTCAGTCTATTTGCTTGACCCTTGAGGCATACAACAGCGTGGACAATCAAAACATGTGCAAGTGCTCCAGCTCCTGCCCATCGCCCTGTCCCAATCCTCGCCACTGGCGCTCAATTGCTCAAATCAAGGCAAACGAATATGGGGAAGGGGGCCGATCGTCCCATGACTCGATTCCACCCTTTACAAGCTCTGTCCGAGAGGAGATTAATAATGCGACAATTTATAAGTGACTCAACCCCTCCAGTCAAAAGTGGAGCCGGCAGTTCCACGAGATCTGGTCTAGCGATAGTAGGTAGGGCCAGGGCCCCCAGTCCAGCCCCGTCCCAGTCCCCAAACTCCAACACAGCATGTACGCATGCAAGCACCTTGCGAACGTGTCTGGCAGTAGCTACTTCCAGAAAGCAGAGCATGATAGGTTTAGAACCGTGGAGCCAAGATTACATAGATCACTCCAATTCCTTCGAAGGGGAAGAGCGTCCAACAGAACCACCGATGACCGAACCTCGTAGCGAACACGCGAACACTCAGCCCAACACCCCCCTTCCCCCCACAAACCAACCACTGACAGATTCAGTGGACTTCAGCCAGCGAAGTCACCTGCTCCTGCTCCTGCTCCATCCACCGTCCGTAACTCAGCTCAAGTCCAGCGGTATCGTTACAAGGAAGTGTAAGTGTAAGCGTAGCGTAAGTGTTGTAAGGTGAGGGCCGGCTCGGCAGGCTCGGCACCCCCCACACATTCTTACAAACAATACTTACCCGGCAAAGCGCTTTCCCTCCCGAGTCCCGCTCGGGGAAGCCTTTTACCTCTCAGCCTCGGCTCGTGACGCACCACCTACATTGTACTGTACATACTATCCGCTTGCATTCCTGGCACTGCAGTGCATATCCCAGACAGACGAAGTCACAATTACAAACAGCTCATCCGACCGAGCCCCAGGAGCTGAATAATGCATGTATCCTGGCGTGCGTTGCACCCACGGATGCTGTAGCATATACATAACTTCCGGAGGGAGCCGAGGGACCAACACTTCTCCGCAGCCTGCACTGGGGGCGCATTCTCTGGATTCAGTAGAAGGACAGAGTATAGATAGATGCGACATAGACGCAATGCGATCCAAATACAGTCAACCAGAGTAAATCCAGCACTGCACCTTACAGAGCAGACTATCATCAGCCCTGCTGCAATCGTACCAGACACTAGTTACAAGCCCAAGACGTTTCAGAAGTGGAAGAAGAATCGGCAAAGACCAGGATAAGAAATAAGCCTTTTGCCTCAGCAGAAGTGGTTATGTTATAACCCCGCATTTCCGCCCGGTTTTCCATTGCCCTTGCCCGCAACCGCCAGTTTACCTGCTAGCATCAAGTTCTTAAGCAGACACCTACCTACCCACCTACCTACCTCGTCCTCAACCTACCATACCAAGCCAAAACCATACCTTTCTCCTCACAACCCCTCCCACAACCACAAAAATGACGACCCCCACCCCCGCCCCCAAGAAAATCCTCCTCCTCAACGGCCCCAACCTCAACCTCCTGGGCACCCGCGAACCGCACATCTACGGCAGCACGACCCTACCGCAAGTGGAGGCCCGGTGCGCGGAGCGCGCCACCGCGCTGGGCGCCACGCTGCAGTCCTTCCAGTCGAACCACGAGGGCGCGCTGGTGGACCGGATCCAGCAGGCGCGCACGGAGCAGGTCGACGCGATCATCATCAACCCGGGGGCGTACACGCACACGAGCGTGGCGATCCGCGACGCGCTGCTCGGGGTGGCGATCCCGTTCATCGAGCTGCACGTCAGCAACGTGCACGCGCGGGAGGCCTGGCGCCACCACAGCTACTTCTCCGACAAGGCGAGTGGGATCATCGTCGGGTTGGGGGTGGATGGGTATACCATTGCGGTGGAGCACGTCATTCGAAAGTTTGCGAAGTTGGAGTATAACTAGCTTTTTTTCATTCCGGGCTGGTTATGGGAAAGGTTTGGAAAGACAAAAAAAGGAATACTGGGGAAGAAATGGTATATAGCTGGTTTATGTATATGACCTGGTTTATATGTATGTATATTTACAGGGCTGCCGCTTGGCAGCGTTTGCTCCACAGATTGAGCATCTCATAAACCCGTCTGCGTCTCATCCTCATCGTCTTGTAGCCTCCAAGACCGGCACCCGGGCACCCGCATCATCGCTTCGCAGGCTCAACCGCCTGAGACTCCCGTCGTACGACCCCCGGCTCCGGACACGGCACTTGCTGCTGCGTCTGAGCCAGCAGAAACGGTTCCACCTGCGTCGAATACGAGTATATCTCCGGAACCCCTGCGTCCGGGACAAACCCCAGGTTTTGCATGAACTCGGGCTGGTTATCGGTTCTGTAGCTCAATTAGTAACACCGACAGGAAGCAACATACAATGCCAACTTACTTCTCGGTCCCGTCCAGCGACGCTAACTCATCGAACAATGCATCCAGGTCAGGCGCAATCTTGGGTCGTCGCGGCCCGTATCCGTCGATATCCACGAAAGAGCCGAAGGCAAGATTTGGGTCGCTGTATGGTTGCTGGTACGGAGGGCCGCTGGGGTGGAATGACGAGGTCAGGTCGGGTATCATGGGTGTGCTGTTCATAGGCTTGGAAGAGGAGATGGAGGGGCGCGGGTTGTGTGTCATCGATTCTTTGAGTTGAGATGGGGGCAGTGGCGGCTCGGTGCCATGGGGGGCGATATTCAGCGACGGCGCTGGTGTGGGTATCGATAGAGCAACATTCTCTTCAAGGTTGGGCGTTCTCATCCAGGTATGAGAGAAAAAGGCGTCTGGGGTGGCGAAGTTGGACCGGGGTTCATCCATGGAGCTTACTCGGCGGGCAGCTTCTGTGGGCGTTTGTAGGGTGGATGGTGGGAAAGCATTGTGGGAGACCGACTCTCTGTTCGATGCACTCCTTGGTCGGCTCGCGACGGGATCAACAGGGGTAGGCACGTCAAGCGCTCGTTCAAGCGGTACAGTCCCTCCCGACTCTCTTCCTTTCACATTCCAGACTGTAGCAAGATGCGCAGAATACGTCTGGAGTTTATGTTTCAAGCCCGGGTCGAGTTCAAAAGGTGGCGATGCGTTGGAGCTCTCTGATGCCGGGAATGCGGCAAATGTCAGGATCATGCCAAAGGTAGGGCACGTAGCCGACAAGCTGTAGGTCTCCATGTATGTCTGGAGCAGCGACAACAGCCGCTTGGAGCTTTCCACAGCTCGCTTCTTCATCGGCAGGTCAGGGACCATACGGTCGTCTCGCTGAGATGCGATCTGCAGACTGAGGTTGGTAGCGACGCTCTCGTATACCATCTCGAGCGCGAAAATATGCGGCGAAGAAATCTTTGACTGGTTCGGCGCAGTCCCGACACGATACGTCTTCGGCAGGGCAGACACCCAGAGCTGTAGCTGGCGCTCCAACGCCTCCAGATGCGATATCGGGCCTGCCGATGTCTGCTTCAGGCAGCACAAATCATTCAGGATGCACATCAGCGAAGTGAGGCGATTGAATGCACTCAAGGCATGAAGGGGGCCGCGATGAAACGAGGCCCGCGACGATTCAACCGGGCGCAGACCGGTCTGGTCTTCCCACGGATGCCATTCTTCCAGCCCGTCCTCGTTGACCGGCCCAATCCTCAAGAGTTCGTCTTTGCGCAGCGACGGCACCTGGCCTGTCTGCATAGCAACGAGCGTCTCCAGGATGAAACAGCCAAGGAACACATGCTTGGATCGTGCAGCACTTTTCCCGTCTTCAGTGGTCTTGGGCTGCCCGGTAGCTGGCTGGTTCAAGCCAAGAGCCTGCGAAACCCGCACAGCCTGTCCCACCAGCAACCACGCAGCTGTCCAGTCCTGCTGCCCAATCTTGACCAGGGACAAAATCAGGAGGGCCTGGACATGTCCTAGCTCGTGGACCCCATCTGCGCCCGGGATGAGACTTTTTGCCGTCGCATACAGGTGGCTTGGGTCGGGTCGTTCAGCAGAGAACTCTGTCAGCTGACGGGTGGCGGATATCGATGCTTCTTGGATAGAGGCGAGAGTTAACACCGCCCATAAAGCGGCATGGTCTCCTGAGCCTGGAGCGGTAGGTGAAACATAAACATCGTCATCGTCATTGTGTCGAAAAGCCGTTCGAAGGATATCGTGTTTTTCAAGAATCGGAAACCAACAGTGTGTATAGGTGAAGTAGATGTCGAAAAGAGGCCATGCATTTGAGGGCAGCTGGGGGGGTTTCGGCATGGCAGGGTCGGAGGTGGAGGGTATGTGGGAGGGCAAACGAGCAAGAGAGGGATTGGATAGCTCGTCGATGGTATCTGCTGAAAAGGTGGTCTGCGTGGAAGTGTCTCGGGTGACACGGATGGCGGCGCTCCTCGCAATGGCTGATGCCGCTGTCGGGGTCTTGATCGGAGAGACCACGGTCAGAGAGCCTTCGCGCGCTTCTGGCAAGACGTCCGAGAGATGCCATTCGAGCGCATCGGATGAGATGACGCTGCTACCTTCGGCATCCTGCGGCGAGTACGTCTCCCCGGGGAGTCGGACCCCGCCCGGATCATCTTCTGGTTGCTCCAAATAGGTCAGGAGCCGCTCGATCTCCTTGAGGACAATACTGTTTTTCCATGAGGAGAGCAGTGTGTCGGACCCTTCGGCCTCCTTGCCCATGGTCGCGAGGTGGCTGGGGATATTCGCGGCCCTTAACAGAGCGCGCACCACCTCCTCACTCCCCTGGATTTTGTTGAAGACAAGCCCCCATAGCAGCTCGAGGGTGCGGATGTAACCGGTCGGGAGGCCGCGTTTCTTGGGATTAGCCTTGTAGGTACATGGGCGCGAGAGCGAGGCACAGGTCGAACAAACGGGTTGCACCCCGTCACATTTGTCCTTCTTGGAGCGACAGCTGTCGCAGGCGCGTGAAACCCGTTGGCGTTTGGGATTGGAGGCGAGATCGTCTGCGGCCGGGGTCTGCTTGCCCTCCTCGTCGGCCTCAGTTAGACGTCGTTTGGACTTACTGGCGCCCCCGGAGGCTTGGCGCGTGTCGTTGTTCATGATCGTCTATCCCACGGTCCACTAGGTTGTTCCGGACGCATGTTCATCTTCAGGATGTGTCGCAGCCGGGAAGAGATGAATGCTTTGCCGGTGGCTGTTTATGCCATATATTTTGGTGCTGTCTGACTCGGCCCCACTATGGATGCGATAGTCGACTAGGAGGACTGAACACCTTCTTAGTTGGTCTGACTAGGAGTAGAAGTAATAAGCCACCAACAGGAGCGAGACTAATATCGGAGCAATCGGCGACAAGTGACAGGGGGGTGGTGGTAGTAGTAGTGGTGGTGGTAGTGGGATAGTGGGATGGTGGGATTTGGTTAGTGTGTGGGTGAAGTGTGGGTGTGGGAAAGTGGAAGAAGGAGAGGGAGGGGTAAAGGAAGAGAAGGAGGAAGAAAGGTAGGCTAGGTTGTTAGGAGTGTGTTCAGTTTCACAATTCAATTCAATTCAGCAGTGTTGGGAAGAGCGCGAGAGATCGTAAAGGCGGAGAAAAGAAAATGGAGAGGATATGACGGGCTGGAGTGAAAAGTTGGGGAAAAGACCGAGCCTAAACCGGAATGGAACTTGGAACTGCTTACCCGCGACGGACTGGTTATTACTGGGTTTTAGTTACTGACTATGTGTATTTAGTTAGTACTTAGTTACATATGTTGCGTAGTTTAGTCATTTAGTCAACTAAATAATACAGATCCATGGAAAGAAGAGAGAAAGTGTGGGAGACTTAGTTGGAGAGAGGAGAGGAGGGAGGAGGGAGACTCCCCCATTCCCCGGTCCTCTCAGAGAGAGCCGATTGGAAAAGGCTAAGAGTTCCCGGTAAACAGGATCGAGTAAGGTGCACTACGCTTTGGGTCAACCCTCTCGCTTGGGTGGCGGACACCCTCCAGCATTTCATTATTCACCTATTATTTTTACTCGATCAAAATCACTCAATTACCTACTTAGTTACTGTCTGTGTCTGTTAGACATTGACTACAAATGAAATTACCTCTATCCTTATATACAGTACTCATACTCAATACTGAATGGTTGAGGCTGTCGATCGACGGGTGTTCAACCTCCCCCATGCTTTGACCCCGAAGCTAAAACTGAGGCACAGCCTCCTCCATCCGATTTTTCATTTCATCCCCCGCGGGGTAAGGGAGAACCTGGGTCACTGGGTGAGAAAAGAGAAAAAGAAAAAAAAAAATAGAAAAATTAAGAACATACAAGTTACCTGGGCCACTCAACCTTGCGTCTCGGTAAACGGAATCCCTCCGGACTGGAGACAGACTGGTATTGTTACAGTCACCTTACGTCTCCCGGCAGAGCCTTTCTCCGCACTTGCCGGCTTCCATCTTTGATCCGGCACTATCCTAGTGCGTACTGTACTCGTAGCATGTCCATTCATAGTATGTACTGAACTCTCTGCACAAGGGATACACCACAACTTGCACACAAGCTTGTCCTGATGGACTAGAAAAAAGATGTGAAAAGAAGATAAATGAGCGAACCGCGCGAGACATCGTATAAAGCTTTCTTCATTATCTAATAAGTAGTCGTGCGACCAACTAAAAATAGTTGCTTACAAAGAAAGGGCTGTCCAGGAACACCACCACCACTCCGCCACAACCAACAAACGTACTCTATAGTACACCTGCTACATCCCAAACACTGCCACTATCGCCTGCTCTATCAGTCGGCCTTTTCGAAATTTCCACATGTCAACCGGGTGTTATCGGCCGCATGCACCACCACGGACAAGTTGCCGAAGAATGCGGGAGTATCCTCAACGTTGGACAGGAACCAGTCGGTATACGCGACTGCGACGGACTCGCCAGGGGCCGCCCAGATGGGGCCATGCTTTCCACTGAGGTCGCCGACCTCGCAGGTCTGAGGCGCCTTGATGTCGCAGGGAGGTGTATCGGTGCGGCCATATGGGTCCAGGTGGCTGCTGGCGCTGTAGCAGTTGCCGTCCTCGGGCACCGGCTTCTTGTGAATATGGTATACTAAATGGGAATTAACAGTCAGCACATCACGGGCAAACAAGCCAAGAGGACTCGCAAGTGCGATACATACATAGGGGCTGTTGGTCCGTGGGAATTCCCCAGAATTTAGCATGGATAGTTATGCCGACATTATCAGGTCCCGGAGACGCCTTGAGATGGCCCTGGACGGTGGTATTATCCTTCTTCAGGAGCTGGACCTGCCAGACGGAGTCATCGTTGTCCCATACAATGGGCGCATTGGTGTCTGCCGCGGACGCTTGGAGCCAAAGAAGGCCAAGCGAGGCCAAAGAAAGAGTCTTGAACCACATGGTCGGGAAGATTTTCAGATAAAGATGGGAGGGAGGCGGAGTCAATCGGAGGTCGTGAAGCGGATCGTTGTGCGAGGGTGGTGGTCTTTATGTTTGGCTTTCGCGATGGTTGTTGACGAGAACGAAGCAAGGAGGTCCTTGACTGTGTACGGCGCAGAGTAATGGCGGATTGGAGGCAAGTGCGACCTTAGCAACGGCGGGTTTTATATCAGTCCTGAGAGAGTTCAAGCCAAGCCTGCCAGTCCGTCAGGCACAGAGAGCGATTCAGCGACATCCAGTTGGATTTCTGGGCTAATCAGCACCGCCCATTCCAAACTGGCCTCTCTCATTGAACCATCTTGCCCTGACAGGAAAGGGTGGTGTTGTGCTGTTGGCCGGTTGCGGTAGAATGCAGACTGTCACCATCCCTTGTTACACCAGGGACAGGGATGGATGGTCAAATCAATGTCACTGTCACCGTGGCTTTGAGGCTTCCTGGTTCGTATTTCGTCTAAGTGACAACAGCCAACATGGCTCAGCGAAGAACGATGATGTCTGGACCACGTAGCCAGGGAGGGCCGGTTCCTGAAAATTTCTTTTCGTCTTCTGCAGCTCTAGTGATTTCATCATCCCCCGCATTCAGAAATAGTAACCCGAACGAGCCAAGCCATGCTTGCTATACGAGATTTGACCCATCACATAGACAAGAAAAGGAACGAATGGGTTAATCATGGATGAATCAGTTGTTGGACGGATTGTTGGATTGGTCATGGTAGATTGTGAGGTGTTGTGAACAAGTCGATGAGTGGCCGGACCAGAATAGCAATCACGAGCAATGCCCGGCCAGGATCTCGTGACGAAGAGGAACAAGCTCCCTTTCCAACCCACCAACTCACCAACTCACCACCTCACTCCGCCTCGCTGCATCTCCTCTGCCTTTGTTATGCATCTCGTCTCGCTCGGATCAATTGCAGGTCGGGTCTTCCTCCGAGTCTCTCTCGGGCAGAGAGACACCGAGTGACATCTAGTGCTCATCGGACAGCAAATGGAAGGAAAGGTTGACTCGAACTGCCATACTTCCCCGCACAGTCTAGACTCCACCTTCTCCTCCAACTCCTCCACCTCCTCCACTCTTCCACTCTTCCACTTCTCCGCGCCAATTGATGCCTTATATCACTATCGCGGACTTCGTTGCGATCAACACCTCGCAGCTCGGAGAATGTCCTACTGCTTGGATCCACTCATCCTTCGAAGGGGAGCTGTGCACAAGATGTAATGCACAATGAAGGATGCTTCTATTTATTCGAGGCATCGGCCAGGCTCTGGCCGCCCGGTCCCAGAAGGATGACTTCAACAAGCACATCGGTGACCTCGTTTTCCCTGACTCTTGCTGACCTTGTTCCCATTCCAAAATGTCTCTTCCTGAGACCCAATACATAATTCAGCTTCCCAAGACGCCCTCCATCATCGGCGCGCTGGATCCTCGAGGCATCGTCCAGCGATGGCTCACAAACCTCAACACGCTCCTCACCACAGGCACTTTCCACCAACTTCTAGCTCTTGTCCATGAAGAATCTTGGTGGAGGGACTTATCGGCAGTGAGTTGGGATCTGCGTACGATCCAGAATCGGGATCGGATCCAGGATTTCCTGTCTCAAAATCAGTCCCGTGCTGGCCTGTCTGCATTCCGTGTCCAACACGAGGGCAGGTTTCAGCCAAAGCTGGAATCCCCGACGGAAGGCCTAAGATGGATCACCTCCATGTTCCTCTTTGAGACCCGCGTGGGCCACGGAACGGGGGTGATCCGACTGACACAGAATGAGGCTGGCGAATGGAAGGCATACTCGGTGTGTACGACGCTGCAGGGTCTCAAATCCTTTGAAGAACCCTTGGGTCTACGCAGAGCACAAGGTACCATTGAGACCATGCCTGGTGGTCTCAGTCAGGGAAACTGGCTTGAACGCCGTCAAAGGACGATCAAGTTTGAGAACGAGGAGCCGACAGCTTTGGTCATTGGAGCAGGTGAGTTGATAGTCTCATGCACCGTGATAACCTACGCTAACAGCAGAGCAGGACAGTCCGGTCTCAACATTGCTGCTCGACTGCAGTCCTTGGGTATCTCTCATCTTATCGTCGACCGGCATGAACGAATAGGCGACAACTGGCGCAAGCGATACAGGGTGAGCGATCCCACGACCCCAATCTGGTGTCAAATCTAACATTTGCAGACTCTTGTCACTCACGATCCCGTTGAATACACGCACATGGCCTACCTGCCCTTTCCCAAGAACTGGCCGCAGTACACCCCGAAGGACAAGCTCGCCGACTGGTTCGAAGCATACGCCAGCATCATGGAGCTCAACGTATGGCTGCAAACCTCCATCAAGTCCGCCACCTACGACGATGCCAGGCAACAATGGACCGTAGTCGTCGCCCGTGGCGGTGGAGAGGAACGCACTCTTCATCCGCGCCACCTGATCTGGTGCACGGGTCACTCAGGAGAGCCATTGGTTCCGACCTTCCCCGGCCAGGAGCACTTCAAGGGCACCGTCTACCACGCGAGCCAGCACGACGACGCATCTTCACACAACGTCAAGGGCAAGAAGGTCGTCGTGGTCGGCACCGGCAATAGTGGCCACGACATTGCTCAGAATTACTACGAAAACGGAGCCGAGGTGACCATGCTGCAACGCAGAGGCACCTACGTGATCACTGCCGAGAAAGGTGTACTAATGATGCACGAAGGCCTCCACGAGGAGAATGGGTAACTCCTTCCACCCCACTTTCCTCCCCAGATCCAACAAGAACAGACCCTCATTCGCATCCCTCTACAACCCTCAAAAAGCCACCCCTGTCTCAACCCTCCTCTAACTCCCCGAAAACAGCCCCCCAACCGAAGAAGCCGACCTCATCGCCGAATCCCTCCCCTACCCCGTCCGCTTCGCCCTAGACGTCCACTTCACGAAACGCGTCCAAGCCGCCGAGCACGACCTCCTCACGGGCCTCCAACAAGCCGGCTTCGCCCTGGACTCCGGCCCGGACGGCGCCGGCATCTCGCGCGCCTACATGACCCGCGGCGGCGGGTACTATATCGACGTCGGCTGCAGCCCCCTCATCGCCGCCGGCAAGATCGCCGTCCAGCGC